TAAGTTTTATAAGTTATTATAAAGACTCATTCTCAATCCAATTGGGGATAATGTGGTTGATCTGTGTTGAATCACATTTGCAGCATTATTGTAATTTATTAAATTTTATTGAAATTTATGCTGATTGACAGTGATCTTTTACAATGTGTTAAAGCTGACTTACACAGTCATTGAGATTTTCAGTATTTCTTTGCTTAAAGGGGATGGATGACAATGGATGACATGCGCAGTAACAGTCTCACCTCTAACGGACTTTGAAAGTACATATTACCTTCGAGGTAAATCATTTTGTGGTGCTTTTGACACACTTTGGAATATTCTAGATGTGTTTACGTTTACGAGCTGATTAATGTCGCGCCAACTTGGAGTCATAAACTTGAAAACATTAGCCTAATGTTTTCAAGTTTACTCGCACATGCGTGCCATTGACAGTGTCCCTTTAATATACACGACTTTCAATAATGGCTGTAGTTCAAAACCATCAATATTAGTCTCAAAGGCCTAACATCTTAAAAACATCACAACTACTTGTAATGGAGGTATAAAGTAATCTAATATGCGAAATAAACGCTTGCTACACTCCTGATGCTACCCTCCTGATGCTACATGTATGCTCCTTAATATGCTACGCTTCTGATGCTACGTTCCTGATGCTATACCTAAGTTCATATCAAGCTCTACATAAATTCTCACCTCCAAAGGAAACATTTTTAAGGTCATGTGACTTACCAGCCCATTACTCAATACAGGTGAACACCCAAGACTTAGGACTTGGACAGACTTGCCTATGTAAGGCAGGAGGTTTTCAGCCATTCCCAGCATTCTTTGTAAACCTGCTTTCATGAGGAGTCTTTTCTCATCATGGTCATTTTCATCATCGTCATCACTGTTGCCAGACTCGTCAACATCAGCATCATCATCAGCATAGCAACTGCAATAAACAAATTTAAGAATAGGATATCAGGACCAAAGAACACTATGAAAAACATAGAATCATTTATAAGAAAAATAGATAAAGGATGTATAGCAGAACCGATGAAGTTCTTCCAACTGAAGATGGTAGAAAATACATTTTGGAAAAAATGTAATTGATGGAATGACTCCCACAGTAAGTTACACTATGCCAGCTTCAGAGCTACACGTCAAACTGTGTGCAAGCTACAGTGTAAACCAAATTTGATATTTCAGTTTAATATCCATGATGCAAAAAAGAATTGAAAACAAGACTTAGGGAAATCAATTGCCTGCAATACTCCAGTTTCGAATTCTCCAATGCTCTGTGTTAGCCTCATTTATGCGCAAAATATTCCTCATTTTGAGCGTAAAAGTGTGAGATTTCAAATCAAATTTGTTGTCTTTCTTCACAAGATGCCATGCGTTTTCTCGAGCTATCAATGGAACAAAAGAATATGTTACTTGGTTTTGAGGCTAACACAGAGCAAACCAGAACTCGAAATTGGAGTATTCTTTTGTGCATGGTCATTACATAACCTGGTAAATTTGAATTTTGTAGAAGAATGTATAGAAGCCAGATTGTTACAATCAATTTGTTTTCTCCACACTTTTTTGCATATTTATTTATTAATTAATACCACTTTTTCTCAAACTCTGTCAAGTACTCTATACGAAACAATTCTATGGGACAACAGGATGAACTTACAATTACTAGCTATAGGACATTATATTATGGTAACTTTACTACACCACAAAGCCTTGAGCATTTTCATTATTTAGACTTTTAAATCCTTCTGGAGATTAACAAAACCATGGAAAACCTATACATTGCAAAACAAAGCAGGCAAAGCATTCTGGTCAAATATGACGCTGTAATGCAAATCGCCTATTCAGTCTGACGTACTCAAAGCGCAATAATCATATAATAATTAAATAGAAACTTGTAATCATATGCAACCTTGTACCTTCTTAATTCCATGAGCTGAAAATCTTCATCAAGAGAATCAAAAGACCCTTTACAATTACAGTCACAGACCTCATCGTCGCTTGGTAACCCAAACCGCCAATCATTGCGAAATATCCACCTTGCTGGGAAGAGCTCTTGCCAAAGTTGTCCGTCTCTGGCTAAGAATGACCATTTCCTGCACACTTGTGCAGCACGGCATAAGTCTTTTGGGTTCAAATATGAAAATATTTTCAGTATTATTTCTGGTGGGTATTTCACCAGTTTTGGCTGTGTTTCAATGTTTGTTATTGTAGAGTGTGTTTTGCTGTTTTCATCAGTTTCGCTGTCAGAAGAACTACTGTCTGATGATATGAAATCTGGGTGGGTCAAGTCAGGAATGTTAATTACAGACTGGCTCTGGAAAATAAACAATATTCATTATCAAATTATATTATACAATAAATAATCAATATTTGCATGACTCAGTGGGACATAATTTGGATAGTAATCTGTGTAGAAAGGACATGGCTGAAATAATAAATCATGGATGATTTATTGTACCTCAGAGAAAGCTGTGTGTAAATCAACTACTTTTTCTTTGATGGTTTTTAGCTCTTCGTATGAAAAATATTGCATCAAAAGAGGCTGAAAAACCTGGAGATGAAAATTAATCAGTGGTCAATTTTAAAACATATTTTAAGATAATTGATTGTCTAATTTGTAAAAAAAAATTATATAAAATCTTGGGTAAACAAACATTGTATTTACTGAACTCACCTCTTCCTCATGCCTCATGTGAGGAAAAAAGTCTTTTTCAAACTCATCAACAGCCTTCCTGAGCTTAGTTTCATAGTTGAGAATATTCAACAAAGTCTTTCTCCGTCTAGCAGTCTTAAAGCCCCTCTTGATCAAAAATAGAATTTCACGGACATGGCTGTGTTTATGAATGTCTTTAACAATAGCTGCTATCTGGTCATTGGTTAAACGACGCTGTAGCTTTCCCATGATACAAGTGTTCTCAACTTCCTCATGGTTTTTGAGTTCATGAAAAATGTGATTAAAGCGGGATAATAGTCCATATAATGATTTATTGTCTTGAAAGTTTGTTGTGGATATCTGAAACATGATGAAATACAGTAGTTTAATGTTAAATATTAAATATAAAAAGGTAATTTTGCTGCAATTCTTATGGTTATTTTGATCCTACAGAATAATGTGCAACAAGCAACTTCTACAGTCACTGAGATGAGCTAACTAGACATCTCTCCACAAGGATAAAACAGAATCTATAAATTTGATAATTAATTAATTATATATGATATCAAAGAGGCGAGATTTTGCCACTTCCTCGTACGATTAATTAATTAATTAAAAATATATTTGACTTTACAGAGTTTGACTGCTACAACACTTGAGCTTAGACCACACTAAGGCTCTCTGCTCTTCCACAATACTAAATTTACAATCAAAGTAATGCCCAACAAATTTCTCTCTCAATTTCATTACAAGAGAAATAAGTCTGTATTATATGGCACACATAGACTTTGGAGAGCACTTAAGAGAAGAACAATTCTCTTGCTTAACACAGCAGCTGTCTATCTAACATGTGTTTATTGGTAGTGATTTATTATTAGTGAAGAATCAAGACAAATGCAGACATTTGTATTTCTTTCACAAAATATTATTTCCTTTTTCAAGAGTGGAAATTTTACTAGTAATAGCCTACATGTATCAAGTCTTTTCAATATTATTAATCAGATTTTCTCATGAAAAGTATTTCAAGTAAGTTGATAGAAGTAAATATCATGTCTCTGCCTCAAAGGTCTCCACAACAGAAATGAGAAATGTTTACGTCCAATATTATACATGACTTGTACATTTAACTAAAATCATTAAAAATACCCTGAGCAATCAATCCATAATATTGTCATATAAAGTGTCAGTCATGTTATGGATAAAGTTTTGGATATTCGATTCTAACACGAGTCTCTAAATAACCTGCTATCAAAGACACCTGTTATCAGGCAAACTTAAAAAAGATTTCCATATTATTGAGGAAAAATAACCAAAAATAACCCAAAAGCGACTGCTATAAACCAATAGGACTATTAGTCTCCTGTCGCAGCCGCTAGAACGTTCGTTCCCAGGTCACTACGAACGTTCTAACGGCTGAAAGAAGAGACTATAGGACTATATTAGTAGGTCCAACTGCACAATATTCACATACAACCAGTGACATGAATATTCATTATTAAGTAACTTATTAGAACCCATTCACAACCTGCTGAATTAAGCCTCAGTTCCTGAATGGTTTTAAGTAATATATAAAATATGACCAGGAGACCTTTATGGGCATTTACATTTAAAACGGCAAGCTGCAAGCAGCAGTATTAAAGCCAATGAATTAAGGTTTTTGGATGCAAATATTTTATATTGCTTATCAAATTCCAACATAAGATTCAGCATATTTTGCTAAAACCTTCAAGATATAATATCATTTTTAAGAGAAAATCCCGTTATGTTGCCTGTAATTCTAATTGGCAGGGTCAACATGCCAAACTTGTAGAAGTAACAGCAATATAAAATGAGTATTTTATCTGCAGTCAAGTCTACAACTGGCAATGGGCCAACAGGTGGCTTAATTTATAGAAACTTGAACTGTTAAGTTTTGGTAATGGTGCAATGAAAAGAAAATGTCAACAAATAGCCTAATATCTACCTTACTTACAGCAACAATCATTCAGATTTACTTGGTCCATATGAGCAATGATAATTATCAGATCAGATTTTATTATGTAATATATCAACTTAAGCGTTTTTATTCATTAATACTCACGTATTTATTTGCAGAAAGAGAAATAATTCACCCAAAAATCATGTCGTTATCAAATGAATACCGCTATCAGCTATGTTATAATCAAATTCAAACAAACCATGATAACAATTTTCTTTGACAACTCAAACATGACAGCAACGAAGTTTGTGCAGAAATTGTTTGCCAAAAAACGTAGCAATTTCAACAAAAGACCGGACAGAATAGTAAAATAAAAGTTCATCTGTGTTTCTAACCTGTTCTGTAGCTTCACAAACGATTTGTTTCATACGAAGATGTGGTATTTTGAACACGTCCACTTCTTCAGGATAAACTTCCTGCGCCATCTTGGATAGCGAACTGACTTATGGGAACAATAGTGACGTAATATTTACGAATAAAGAAAAAAACAGGGAGCCCATATCCCAGGATTATATATGGCCGTAGACTTGCTTTATAGAGAGAATAGAACTCCGAGCAAAGGGACTTTGTGAAAATCTAATATGGCCCAAGTTAAATGTTTACGGGGCTACCAGCCACCGGAGTTTTTTGGCTTCCAGATTCTGGATCCCATTGGTGGGTTGCATGTGACGTCATACTCAAGCAAAAAATATCGAAAAATCCAAGATATTTTTTCTAAAGAGCTCTTCTTACAGTATATCTTAAATATACGTCTAAATAGTGTGTATGCAAATTTTCATACGAGTTCAACGCTTTGGTGGTGAAACACAAAAGTTTTAGTTTGTGCGGAGTTTAATTTATTCTACCGTAGACTCGTAAATAAAAACTTCGAGATTAGATAAGTCATTCTTTCAACTCCGTAAGAACTTACTTAAGGTAATTTTCCTTTGAAATAAAGTCATAATTGACCAAAATTTACAAAGGAAACCAGTTTTTAAAGTTAATTTGAAATCAGACGCCATCTTGGATGATCAAAGTTATCATCCAAGATGGCGTTCCCATACATATTAACCAAATTTTTCAAATCTTTATTCGCTTATATCTTCATCGAAAAGTAAGCTACAGGACTAAAAGCTCGTATTCTAGATAATTTGACTATGCTCTTTATGACTTGCTACTTGGTTTTTGAAAATAACGAATAATAACGAATGATAAATTTTCAGTTCGGGGGTTGCAACCCAAGAAT